GTCCTTATTAATTGGAGTATGTCTCTGAAGAAGAATTCATTTGGAGCCAGCCCCATATACAGCAGTTAAATGATATACATAGGGAGCTGAGTCCCATATGATTAACCAGGGTTCAAATCCCAGTCCTGATTGCATGAAAAACATGGACGCCTGGGTGTGCATGCCTAAAATCTTGATGAGATGAAGAACTAGAAGAAAAAGAAACGCCTCCTTGAGGTATTTCTCTCTCTCTCTGTCCCTGGCAAGTGCATGTGCCCTCTGGCCACTAAAAAAATAAATAAATAAAAAGGAGAAGGTGTTTTTGTTTTGTTTTATTTACTTTTACTTCTGACAATATGCAGCAACAACAGATTAGATGTAGATTATCACAGATTAAGATTGAAGAAGGTATGTTAGGATTGAAATCTTTTTATTTATTTATTTGGAGAATTTTGTTTTGTTTTGTTTTGTTTTGTTTTGCTATAGGGCATGTGCACTTGCCAGAAAGACAAGAGACAGACAGAGAGACAGAAAGCGAGAAATCACCCCCCAGGGAGGATGGCCATCCCGCAATCCCTTCTCCTCCATTCTCTTCTTGGGATCTTGGGCACACATGCACACGTGCCCAGCATGAGTTTAAGTCACCGGGTCCGAGACTCAAACCACGTTCAACTACATGGGAGTCAAGCGACAGCCATTATGCAAACTGCTGGTCCCAGGATTGAGATCTTTTTAAATGCACATTCCCTTTCTCCCAATTTGATAGCTTAGACATACCTCAGATTTTGAACATCATTATCATTATATGTGTACATTCTAATCTTCTCAAAGATATAAAAGTTTTTGTGCCAAATTAAAAAAGTTGTCTATATATATAAATACACACTCATATACATATGTGTACATAAAGCATTCAAGTCGAATAAGAAATTGGTATATACATATTAAAAGGGATTATTTGGATGACCCTGATATGTCATGTAGATTCACCAAGTGTAATAGATATTTTATTGGGGGGGGGTGTTGATAATGGGAGAGTCTTGGCAGGTGTGAGAGCAGGGACCATATGAAAAATCTGTGTACCTTTGACCTTGTTGTGAATTTACAACTACTCTAAACAACAAAGTCTATTAAAAAATAATTACTACAGTGTTAAGCTGGAGAAACTCATCATACACAAAAAAGTCAGCTAATCCAAATTAAAGCTCCTTTGATAATGTACCACTTGATAACGATGCAAGTCTTATATATTTCATGATGAAAATAAAAAGCACTAGGGTGTAGGAGAACATTATGTTTAATAATTAAAAAGTTAAAATCTGTGTAATATTGTTGATTTACTCCAGCTGTATGCCCCATGACCCTTGAATATTTTTAATTCTCTTTGTTGAATTCCTCAGTTTAACTACTTAATTTGGTGCTCCATTACAGAGTAAAATAGAGTCAATACTTCCGGTATCATATCACCATGGTTATGTCACCCATAACTCTGGAATTCTAAGGGCACACTCTGGAGGAATAAGTCAGGAAGAGGGTACTGGGAGGGAGAGTGGGATAACTAGAAGGTAGAAGCATAGGGCAGTTGCTTTCTTTGTCTTCACTCTGAACTTTGAAGCAAGTTTTTTATTGATCCTGAGTCAGATTATCATTTTGACCTAATGTCTTTCATGAAAATCCATTTCTTTGATAGGACACAACAACCTATCCTCTGCCTGAAATGTGTGTAAGCTGTACTCTTCTTCTGGACCATTGATTCAGTGACGATTGTCCATTTTACCAGGACCCTTCTACTGCTTTTGCTTCACATAGGATGGGCTAGCAGGACCGTGGATGCTCCAGGCATTCACAATGGTAGACTGCTGGCTCTGGGTCCTTTAAGAGAAGGTTAGAAATGGACCTGAGTTAGTGTATGGCCTTTGAAGTTCTTCAGCTAATGCTGAATGCTTTCTGAATGCTTCTGTTGTTAAAAAATTCTATTAAGTCACTAGCACCTGAGTGATTTTGCCTTATGTGGGAAAAATTATTCAATTATACTGACTTTTGAGGCTCTCACAATCTAATTTTAAAAGGTTCCTTGCGTGTTAAATTGAAAAAAATAATTCTATTATGATTTCTCCATACTTTTGTCGTGCTCTGTCCCTTTCCTACAGCTTTTTTAGGAATTCTGGATTGAAGAGTTTAGGCTTTCTAAAAGTTCTTCATTTTAGTCTGTTCAAGTTATTATTTTAAAAGTAGCTAACACTGGGTAATTTATAAACAATAGAAATCTACATTTCACAGTTCTGGAGGCTATAAAGTCCAAGATTAAGGTGCTGACATTTTTGGAGTCAGGCGAAGGCTCACTGTGATCTCAAGATGGCACCTTGTTGACTCGTCCTCATGAGATGGAAGGTGGAAAGGCAAAAAGGCCAGGCAGCTCTCTGAGTCCTCTTTTATAAGGGAATTCCTTGATCTCATTCTTTTTTTTTTTTTTTTTTAAGAGAGATTTTTGCTATAGGGCACATAGGCTAGAGAGACAGAGAGACAGAAAGTGAGAAATCACCCCCTGGCGGGGAATGGCCGTGCCACAGTCCTTTCTCCTCCACACCCTTCTCAGGATTGTGGGCATGCATGTACATACACTCAGCATGAGTTTCAAGCTGCCAGGTCTGGGACTTGAACCACAGTCACCCAGTTGGGAATACAGCAGCATAGCCATTATGCCATCTGCCAGTCCCCATTAATTCCATCCTTAAAGGCTCTCCTAACGCTCCCACCTCTTAGTACTATCACATTGGTGATTAAGTTTCAACATTTGAATTTAGAGGGACACTTTAGACACCTTTTCTACATTTAATACCTGAACTTTGTCACTTTCGAATTTGATAAAAGTAGACATGCTAAGATCAGAAGTATACTATAATTACAGTGCTTTCTGGATTCCCAGTGCAAGAAAATGTAGTGATTTAGATTTCGGTATCTTTGTAGGTTTCCACAATGGGTATTAAGGGTTGTTACTAGACTGGATCACAAGAATAGATTCTGCTGAAGCCTGGGCTTCATTCATATAGGACCCAGACTAAAATTTGACCTTCTTCTAGCTATTAATGGGGAAAACTGGGCCAAATATATGAAACAGTGATCTAATTGTAAGAGTTTGAGATTTAATATGAACCGCTTCAAAGAACTGTAAATGAATACTTTTTTAACAGCAGCAATTTATTGAATTAATCAAATCTTAGACTTGAAGTAGGATTTAGTGATCAAAATGCTCTAAATGCTTTATTTTACAAATGAAGAAATTGAATAAAAGAAGCAAACTGGTGTGTTCAAGGTGCTGACTTTGTAAAGTGCCAGAAGTGGAATGGCAACCCCTATGTGCTATTGCTTCTCCTTCCTCCAGCTGCTGCTATAGTCTTTTCATCTGTCATGCCAACAGACACAGTAGAGAAAATGACATTACTTTGGTTGACTTGAGTGAATTAATTTGAAAGTAATCAATAATGTTGCAAAAATAATCTGATTTCCAAGCTAATTCATACTGATCTTTTTCTGTTGGTTTTAACAAGGCTTTATCATATTCGACATTGGTTTTGAAATTAGCCAGCAGATGGTGTGGTGGTTAAGGCAGCTGGATTCCCTCAAGGCAGACTATGGTTCAAGTCCTGGACCTCATGGCTTGAAAATAACATTGGGTATGTGTGCATGCATGCCCAAGATCCCTAGAGGAGTCTGGAAGAAAAAGGATTTCTGAGTGGCCATCTTCCTTGGGGGGTGATTTCTCACTTTCTCTCTCTCTGTATCTGTCTTCTCCAGTGTGTGCACACATCCTATGGCAAGAAACAAACAAACAAACAAACAAAATACAAAAAAGAAAAAAGATATTTAGCTTATGAGATCTAGTTCATCAGTCTGTACATTTACAAGAGGAGTGGAAGAAAACTAAACTTGCTTATATTTTTTCCCTTCTTTTTAAACTAAAATGAATGTTTGAATTCATGACAATATTTATAAAGCTTTCTAAGAACAATTTCTTTTTTGTCAAAATACAGTTTTGGGGAGTAGTAATGGTGTAATGGTTACATCATTGGATTCCCACATTGTTGACTACAGAATGAGTCCCAGATCAGGCGGCTTAAAACTCATGCTGGGCATGTGTGCATACTTGCCCAAGATCCAGAGAGGAAAGTGGAGAAAAAGGGATTGTGGTGTGGTCATTTCCCTTGGAGGGTGGTTTTTCGCTTTAAGTCTCTATCTCCCTCTGTCTCTCATTTGAGCACACATGCCCCATAGCAAAAAATCTCTCCCTCAAAAAATATAAAATTGTGTATGACCGGGTTTTGTATTTGGAACCAACAATGCACTTCAATAAAAACTGAAGACTATACATAAAGTTTTGGAACAAGGCTAACATTGAATCACTAAATAGCTATGTGTTGAAAAATCACTGAACTTTAGAGTTTAGTTGACTTTGAGGTATACATTTGCCATAAGTATTTCTTTTCATATGTAGCAAAATCATGACTTTGAAATATAATGATTTTAAAAAGTATTCCCAAATATTTTGAGGATTTCTAAGGATAAGATTTTATTTTATGTTATCAAAATAAGTCTCTTTATTATTCTGAGTTTCAATGTTGACTTGCAGAAATTTGAGGGAGGGAGTGGATGGTGTAGACAGTGCTGTTTATCTCTATTCTCTGGGCTTCTCATGTCTCTCTTGCTCTATTTTTTTTTTTTTCATTTTAATTGTCAGAGGATGCTTGTGCTTGCCAGAGGAAATCAGAGAGAAAGAGAAGGGAGATAGCAACTCCTGGGGCGTGGTGGTGCTGCAATCCTTCTCGTACATCTCCGTTGCTTCATCCTTTTGGGATTTGGGCATGCACACACATGTGCCTGGTGTTTTTCAAAGCTCTGGGGCCAGGATTTGAACTGTAGTCAGCCATACGGGATTCAGCTCTCTTAACCAGTAGGCTATGGGCCAGCACTGTTTTATCTTTTATGAATGCCTAGCTCACTAGAACCTTTTTCATTCTTTTCAGGTAAATGTATTACCAGAAATACAGCATCAGCTTTGCAGAAGAGAAGGATTATGTCAAATAATTAGAAGATTTCCAGGTAAACTTTAGTTTGCTTCCTTATGCATAAACATGTGAGAAACATAAGCTTCCTTAAGCAGACACAGCTGACAAGTTCTCAGATCAGCATCTCAGATTCTTAGTCTATTAGTTCCACTCACACAAATCTACCATAGTCCACGAGGTTTTGCCGCTGGGAAGACTTGAATGATAAGGAGTACAAGAGTAACACTGATATGCATTGTTTTAGTTTTGCCTTCTGGTTTGCTAGATAAAGTTTCTGTTTTCTATTTATCTTGAAAACAATTGCTGTTTTGTTTATTTATTTATTTATTATTATTTTATTTTTAGTCACACTATGTCATTATAGCATACAAAATGAGTTTTCCCAGCATGAATGCACTGTATATTAGTCCAGTCAAATAACATCTTCAGATGATAATGTGTATTCCTGCTTTATTTTAAAAGCAATGATTGGGGCCAGCAGATGGCGTGGTGGTTAAAGACGCTAGATTCCCACATGGCCAACCGTGGCTCAATTTCTGTACCTAATGGCTTGCTTTCTCACTTTCCCTTTCTCTCTGTCTCTGTCTGGTCAAATTAAAAAACAATAATAACTAACATAATTAAGTAAATAAATCATTCTTTAAAAAATAGCAATTATCATAGTATGGGTCATTGGAAAAGTCATGATGTATTTTCTAATCTTTTTCTATGCAAAAATGCATCATGACCTTTATGACAACCCAGTAGTTAATTGTTATACAAAACTTGGGCATGGCGGCACCCACCCTATGACAAATTTTAAGGTTATATATATACATATATATACATACATATATATATATGTATATATATATATATACATATATATAATATTATACATTATACATTTGTAATATATGTAATATATGTAACATACACACATAATATGCATGGTTAACTTATTAGGATTCTAAAAATTGTATTTCTCCTTTCTAGGATCCTCTTAATTTGTTTATGTGTTTAAAACACTGAATAAATAAATTCTGTGTGTCAACTATATTAAGAACTTGAGACAAAATTACCATGTTCAGTTTTCCCTTTAGTTCCCAAAGTAGAAAAAAAATCAGAAGGTATATAAGCTTTCATAGAAGAAATAAGCCCTTACAGATAAAATTATAGTCTACATTAAAACCCATCAGTGAAAGGGTTTCTCAGATTTCTTGTTTAAAACTCATTTGGTTTTTAATAGTTCATTCCTCTCGAAGGTGTTTCACTACATAATTAAAATTTAGATCTGCATATTTTTAATTGTTTTTTTAGTCATTTGTGTCACAGTGAAATAAGAAAACTGATGATATTTCATAGCTCAACAGGATATGTACTTTCCTACCAAAGACCAACCACATTGGCATGTCACACTGTAGAGACTACAGTCTTCCAATGTCATTTACCAAGAGTTTAAATTTTAAAAATGAATCAGCAGTTCAGCTGTTAATTTGAGATACATGGGCCTCATCTGGTCAGCCGCAAAATGAATTGCATCTCTGGAAATCACAGGGTTGACTGTGAGTTTGGATTCCTAGGTCAGTTGAAAGCATGCCTGGCACATAAGGCATGCCCAAGTTTCTAATAATTTGAATGGCCTGGGAAGGGGGACATAGCATGACCAGACCCTGTTGAAGGTGCTTCTCTCACACACACATTTTAAAATGGGGGGAGGGAGGATGTATATATATATATATTTTTTTTTTCTTTTTTTAATTCACCCAAGGGTGCATGAGGTCACCAGAGACAGAGAAAAAGCACCTTCCATGGGGAATGCTAATACCATGGTCCCTTCTCTATTTCACCCCTTTTTTGGGGATTTTGGGTATGCATGCATACTCAGTGCATTTTTCAAGTCGCTGGGTCTGGGACTTGAATTGTGCAGTTGGCCTTATGGGATCCAGCCACCTTAATCACTATGCCACTGGTTGGCCCAGGAAAAAATTCTTAATAAAAAAGATACATGTCTAATTTAAATGTCTGTGTATATTTTGTTCTATACTTATTATGACAACTGTAGCCAATTCCATAATCTGGTGTTTTGTTTTGTTTGTTTGTTGTAAACTCTAGTTAGCTTTTTCTATTTTATAAAAAAAGTAATTTTTTGTGAGAAGCAAGTAAAATTAGTATTTCCAATAGCAATATTAATGCAAATCCAGAAATTCTTAAGTTAAGAATTAACAGTTAAGCCAATCTGAAAAGCGTGTGTGTGTGTGTGTGTGTGTGTGTGTGTGTATGTATATATTTATATGTAAGGGCATGTATACTTGCTGGAGAAAGACAAAGAAAGAGGGAAAGTGAGAAATCACCCCCCAAGGGGGATGGCCACACAGAAATACTGAAATCTCTTTTCCATTCTCCTGGGATTTTGGGCACATAGCACACAAGTCTGGCATTATTTTTAAGCTGCCGGGTTTGGGACTTGAACCACAATCTGCCATGTAGGAGTCAAGAACTTAAACCACCATGCCACCTGCTGGCCTCAAAGTCTGCTTGCATTTTGAACAGAGTCTATATATTTAAATGGGGGGTTTTCATTGCTACTTATATTCCAGAATTGTTCATTTAGAAACATTAAGTTACTTTAGCATTATAGTTAGTAGAATGGAATCCCAGGAGTAAAATCTATTTGTGGTCAGAAATGACTTATTCATTCTATCAAACTTGCCAAACAAACGCTATTCTTATTTATTTATTTATTTATTAAGACAGATTTTTGCTGTAGGGTACATGTGCTCACCAGACAGACTGAAAGTGAGAAATCACTCCCTGCAGTGGGAATGATCACTCCATAATCCCTTCTCCTCCATTCTCCTCTCGGGATTTTGGGCACACACACACATGAGGCTGGTGTGAGTTTTAAGCCGCCAGGTCCAGGATTCGAACCTCTGTCGACTACATGGGAGTCCAGTGATGTAACCCTTATGCCATCTGTTGGTTCCAACAATTCCTATATAAGTTTATATTGCTTCCATTGAATTAAAAAGTATTTGTCTTCTTTCACTTTAAACAATTTCTATTCTCAAAAACATCTGTAAGTTCTAGACATAGATTAGTCCTTCCCCCACTCTGGCTAGGGTGTTAATTTTCTTTTTATCTCTGTGACTAACATGATAGTTTCACAGAATATACAGACTTTTAAATGGAATTATTTCCCCTATCATGTTTTCTTTCTCTAGCTGAATGTAATTTTCTTAGATGTGTAGTTTTAAAGGAATTTGCCTGCAGCATTACTTTCTGACCCAAACGTTATAAACAGTAGCTTTAGTTGTAGGTGATTAGTATGGATATATAGTATATAATATAAACTTGATATTCACAAAACTAGATATATTTTGTTTGTTATGAATGCTGAATATGTAATAGTGAATGCAGATTAGGTAGCAGCATGTCAGTGCTTTAAAACTATGATATTATTAAACAGGCAAAATAGTAAAACTGAACATAATACTATATAATCTAGATATTTTATTCAAAGCCAGAATGGCCTGTGCCATTTCAAGCTGAGTTTATTTGATCATTGAAAATACACGAATTTTGAAACTGGAGATTTCAACCCTGTCCCCATTAGCTGTGTGAATGAAGTGTCAGGGACTTGAAGGGTTAAAAAATTTTTTTTATCTATAAAGTGGAGATATTAAGACTCATTTTATAGGTTTGATTTTAAAAATCTAGATTCACTATCTGGATTTTTGTGTGAGGGTGTATAATTTGATTTAAAGAATAAAGCTCAGTATATATTATATCTAACACTTGCTCAAAATATTCTAACGGGATTATCTAGATTTGGACGATCAAGCCACAGGCCTCACAATTTTTAATACTTTTTCTCTTTACATGACTAATTAGCAGAAAGATTTTATGTTTCTGTTAAAAAAACTGGGAAAGGTCAGAGATTTTACCCTACTTTTTAGCTCACAGAACCTACTACAGTTTGATGGGTACAGGCGGAAGATATGAGATACCTGGGTCAGAGACAAATGATATCTTTATTCATAGCAGTAGTAGTAGAAAATTATCAGCATTTGTAGCAGGTCATAGAACCCTGGTACACTTAGCCCTAGATAGTTGACAAATTTCAAGAGAGGAACCCCAAACTTAAGGAGTTTGACTTTTATAATGGGCAGTGAGCAGGCCTGCACTTTGCCCCAGAGGGAGAGATTATTTTTGTTAACCTAGAAAATGAAACAAAACAAACAAAAACACCCACATCTTCTCTTTGCTTTGTAATAAGACATCATCCTCATCTTTCAAGGCTATCCACTACAAAAAATATTTCTAAAAAGATCATTCCAATTAATGGTTATCGGTGCCTCGGTTGGCAAACATGTGAAGAAAGGTGAAAGATGCGTGGAGAAGTGTCTCTAATACCAGAGAATACCTGACACATTCTAGCCCTGAGGCTTCACCAGTGTGAAATTCTGAGCAAGATTTAAAACCTAGTTGTGCTGCAGTTTTCTTTCCTATAAAAATATTAGGTTTAGTAATGATCAGTAATACTGGGATTCTGTTATTCTACTGTGCCTTTTCCCTGTACAGATTTGTGGTCTCGGGCTTTATCTTCAGAAGCAGGGAGAGACAGGGATGCTGAGAAGGGAGGAATGATCACACTGGTAAATGCGGCTAAGACCCACACAAGTGAGCAAGGACAGAATTCAGCTAGACGCAGAGGAATGACTGGAAACAGCATGTGAGGCTAACACAGCCTGTTCCATTCCATAAGCCAAACAGAGTGTACCTGACATTCGACTTGTGACTCACATCGAAGGGCTCACATCCATGGAATGTTTACTGACCAGCGCAAAGATTTATTTTTATCTTCCCATTTAATGCTTTGCCTTTTGGAGGAAAAAAAAAAATGTTTCATAACACTGAGTTGACCCAGCCTTCTTGTTAATGTTTTTGTTACTTTTTATTGATTTTTCAGAGAAGTCATGACATATTTTTTCTATTATTTCTACACAAAAATATGTCATGCCTTTTCTGACAACCCAGTATTAAGTCGAATTT